TTAGACAACCAAAAGTCCCGACTAGACCATCACACTACCCTAATCAGACCTATGCCAACCCTAGTCGACCAACCCCTGATTAGATGACCCTAAGTCCTAGTCAATCACCTAAAAGTCCTAATCATTAAACCTAATCCAACCCCTACTGACTTACCAACCCCTGATTAGACTTTTAGCACCCTAATCAGACCTAACTAAGCCTAATTGACCTAGTTTAATTCTGATCAGACCTTATAAACGCCTAAAACCAGCCCCTATAGACCTGCCCTGATCTAAACCGACCCCTACAGACCTATACCTAGTGATTCTAGACTTAACCAACCCCTAAACCAACCCGTTTTAGTCAAATCCCAACTAATCAGACCTAACCGGTCAATATACCGGACTCTATGACTCAAACCTGGCACTTAGGAGTCCTATCTAGTCCTAAACTAGATAATACCTAAATCTACAATCAGATACTAATCTGATCAGACCTAGACAATGTTCCTATAGACATTCTACACCTCTAATCAGACCTAACCAAGTCTATTTTGACCTAATTACCTACTGATCAGACCTAGACTAAGCTAGACTAACCCAAATTTGGCTAAACCAGACCTAACCGAGACCCAAAAACAGCCCTTACAGATCTATACCGACCTAAACCAGTCAATCTTAGACCTATCCCAGCCTATTTTAGTCTACCCAGACCTCTTACCCAGCTAAACGTCATCAAATCCCACCTATTCAGACCTATACTGAACAGAAAAACAGGAATCTATGACTCACATCAGCTAAACCGAGATCTAAACAGGTCTATCCTTAGTATATTTCACTAAACCAAGCCAAATTTGACGCTAGACCAGCCTAACAAGGTAAACCGATCACTACAGACCTTAATCTACCCTAAATCAGTCCACTATGCCCTAAACCAGATACCATCAGACCTAATTTGAACTAACCTAACCCTAAACCAGTTAGTTCTAGTCCTAATTGTACACTCCAGACCCTAAATCGATCTAATTTGGTCCTAAACCACGAATTCAGACCTAAACCTGATCAATACTAGTCCTATTCCGATAAACCAGACCTAAATCAGACTTATTTCAGCCTATACCTAGTCTGATTTACCTAAACCGAACCTTATTGATCTAAACCCGGACAATTCTAGCCTTAACCGGACAAAAACAGACCTACATCAGACCTATATCAAGTCTAAACCGGCCTACATTGACCTCTACCCGACTTAATTGCCCTAAACCAGTCTGAACTAGACAGAACCGAACAAATCAGACCCTAATTAGACCTAAACCAGCCTAACCTAGCCTGACTTGACCAAAACCGGACCTAGATAGACCTAAACCAGACTCAATTGACCTAAACCGGACTCAATTGGCCTAAAACCGGACCTGGAATGACCTAAACCGGACTCAATCGATCTAAACCGGACCTAGAATGACCTAAACCGGACTCAATCGATCTAAACCGGACCTGGAATGACCTAAACCGGACTCAATCGATCTAAATCGGACCTGGAATGACCTAAACCGGACCTAATTGTCCTAAACCGGACCTGGACTAACCTAAACCGGACCTAATTGTCCTAAACCAGACCTAATTGTCCTAAACCGGACCTGGATTGACCTGAACCGGACTAAACCGGTCCAATTGACCCCAAACCGGACCTGAACCGGTCCAATTGACCTGAACCGGTCCGGTTTGACCTAACCGGTCAACTGTTGACCAATTTTGGTCAACGATTTGACTTTACCAACCTAAACCGGTTCGATTGAAATATTGAACCGGGTTTAATTACTCAATCGGATTTAAACCGGCTAAACCGGTCTAAACCGAAAAACCCTAATTTCGGATTGCGGAAGCCGCCGAGTCACCCGAGTCAACCCGGTGGTTGACTCACCCCGATTTTCCGACTCAGCCGCGACTCGGTGAGTCACGGCCGATTTCGCCGGAAAATCGCCGGTTCTTCACCGGTTTTCCCCACTCAACCCTAGATCTACACCAAAGCAAGAACGACTCACCTTTGCGGAATCGTAACTCGACTGATCTACTCAGTCCGAGTTAGATCCGAAAAACTTACCGTTCTTCCACCCGAGATCGGAGTTCCTCTTGCCGGTGTCGGTCGCCGATCTGCCTTCAGATGGTTTCCTCGTCGTCATTTCTGACCTGAAACAACTCAACAACACCGTTAGAACGCTCAGATCTATAAGTGAAATCCAAAACTTACCTCGGCTTCGACTCGCTGCCTCTGTAACATCCCCGACAGAGATTTCACCGCCGATCCATCGTCCGCCGCCCGAACCAGGCTCTGATACCACTTGTAGTGGTTCAGGCCGGCCGGAAATCTCACCGAATCACTCCGAATCTCTCGTGTGAACCAAGACCGAAAGAAGAGGACGACACAGAGAAGTTACGAGTTCAGCACCGAGCGTAAAGCTCGGGCCTACGTCTCGGGAAGAGGAAGCCGCGTCTTTTGCTAGGGTTTACAACAGGAAACACCGCCGGGAACCGCCGAACGGCGGTCCCGAACACGGAGAAGCGAAAATCGCCTCCGTCAGAGAGAGAAAGAACCAGAACAAGAAAAACGCGAGATAGGGAACAACCCAAAAACTAGGTCAGATTAATGACCTTAACAAATGACCAATTTGCCCCCTCGAACCTTCTGTTTCGCCCAGAAGCTTTGAAAGCTTCCACTTCGCCTGGAGACTTCGGGAACCTCTCCTCCATTTGGAGGCTTTGCTGAAGACACTCCACAAATATTTTTAATAAATTTCAACAAATTTGGAATTTTGATTCATTTCATGTAATTTAGTTGAATGTGTGAGTAGTTAGTTAATATACATTTAGTGGTGCATATCAACAAATGTACAAAATTTTAATTAATTTGTGATTTGTGACCTAAAACTAATTCTTTTTACATAATTTGTTTATATTCTTTATCTGTGGATTTCTTATCGACAAAATACAAATTTTAATAGGAAATTTTAGTTAGATATATGAAGTCGCAAATAAATCATAATTAAGTCGTAATTAATTCGCAGGATTTATTCGAGAAACAAACGTGCATAAAAATGTTAAAATCTAAAATAATATGGAAAGCCGCGTGGACAAAATATCTACAAAAAGTAGGTGCCTCCTGCCATAAAAAAAATATTCTTTCAAATAAAAAAGGTCTATTTTTTTAATTTAACATTAAGGGTATTTTTGACATTTTGAAAGTAAAGATATTTAAGTAATTTACCCAAAATATTGGTGTACAATTTGTTAAAAAATTTCGTCCATATTTTACAGGTGTACCTGTGTAATTGACGCGACCCAATTAGTGTATTTTAGAAAAATTGGCGATCAGAACATGAGAAGGGCAAAACACAAACACAGGTTTTGCCTTGTGACTTTCTGGGCGATGCGTTGACTTCGACACGCATACGCAAAGTCTCTGTGTGTGTGTGTGTATAATTCGGTTCGGTTATGTTCCCACCCGTAATTTCTACCTTCTGGTATACAAGAAAGGCTTCATCTTTTTGGCTGATGATAAAACTATCGTCTCTGCATCCACCGCTCGGTTGAAGAGATTTCGCTTTTCACTCTTTTATCAAATGATAGGAACGCTTCGAGAGAATCACGATCGTAGATTCCAATTCCTTTTGTCGTCGGACATACAGACCAGATGAACAACACTTCCATCGAATCCGCGGGTTCCTCGTCTTCGTATTCGTCGCCTAGGTTTTCCGGTAAGTTCCCTCTTCCTTTCTCGAACATTTCGCTGATGGGTCTTGCCTCTTTCGATCCGTTTCGATGTTGTGAGATGATCTTACCACCGGGGTATTGGAAATTCTTGTTAGGACTCGTCTGGGTTTGATTCCCTGAAAAAGAAAGAAATGACTTCTTGTGAAGACCTTATCCATAAATGCCGGTACTTGAATGTTCACAGAAAAGCTGTATAAGCAGGAGACTGTCATAAACTCATCTCTAGATTCTGATTTAGAGAACCCTAATTCTGGATCTGGATTTGGCAGAATGCATGAGCTCTCCACTGTTGATGGCTTTGTGGTGATAAGCGAGAGGCAGAGATGATAAAGTACATTGCGAATGAACCATCGGCCGGGCTTTACCACATCCAGCAGCATGTCCGAACTGCAGTACCCAATGCCGTTAGTCTCTGCAACATCGTGACGGATAAGTCCCGTGACACGGTTCTGCGTACCGAAGACTTGGAAGATTCAATAACAATGGTGAAATCGATGAAAGAGTGTGGTTCCCCAATTGCTGATGAGATGATCTCAGACATCAAGCACTGCTTAGCTATAATGTCGACAAGACGACCGAGGAGAGGAGGGCTGATACTGAACACAAGCCCTCGGAGGAGTAGGTCCAGCGGTTCACTGCTCAGTTCTAACCATGCCGCGGATAGCGAAAGCAGCGGTTATTTCTCATCCGTCTTGAAATTGGCCAAGCAGAGAGCCAGCAGCATCAAATGGGCACAGTTTGATTTCAAAGAGCAAAAATCGGAATCAGGAAAGGAAGATCGATTGCATCAACCTACTGTCCCTTTGCCCGCTGCATCAGCAAGCTCGACCTCATCTCGGGAGCTACCGATACTGAATGGCCCTGAAGAAGAAGTATCCTCAGCCGTCAAGACGGGTAAAGATGACCATAATATCCTGGAGAGAGCACACTGTGATGAGGTCAAGGCCGGCAAAGAAACCAATCTTAAGGCATGGCTTGGGGACATGGACGGGAATGCAGCCGCTGAGAGGATATAGGGTTTTTTTACACGGTTTTAGTGGTAAGACAATGGCTCATTTGGTCAAATGATGGAGTTTCTTACTGTGACTCACTGTGCAGTAGAATAAGATACTGTAATGGTGGTTATTACAAAGTGCTTATGAGGTCCTAACACTTTACAAGCATTTCCACAGACAAAAAACAATGAGACTGGATAAGACTTGTCTCTAGGTTCCCTCATATGAAGAAGCATTCATCCATCAGACAAAAAAATGCCATATGGTTATGTATTGATCGGCTGGATGAAGGTACCTCCATGGAAGAAATGTTTACGAGTTTGCAGAGATTCAGGCTCAAGGACTACTCGAGCAGGATCAGATCGGAGCTTGCCCGGGGAATCACACCAAATCAACTGAAGATCTTGGCTGGCTACACACATGTCAGTTTCCATTGCTGGAATCACTTATCCTTTTCAAATCTTCCATCCCATTGCCTTTAGATCACTTAGCTTCAGTTCGACATGCTTCCCGATCCTGAAACAGGGCAGGCGAAGTTTATGGAATCATATCAAGCAGATGGGAAACCAAATGAAATGACAATTCTAATCACATGATTTGGTAGGGTTTCTGATATTGATGCGATGATATCAGTTTATCACATCCGAAAACTTGGTAAAGCGGTTGGGGTGAATGGTAAAGAATCTATTCCTGACTTTGCTGACAAATAGTTCAACATTAAGAGGCTCGTCTAGATGATAGTCAAGTAAAGGCTGACAGAATTTAACAAAGGCAAGAATAGAGGAAAAGGCTGTCACAAAGGGCAGTACCCGAGATCTGATGGAAGCCTGAAGCCACCTATACGTATACGCTTCAATGAATGGACCTGGAGAAAATAGAAGTATCAGATGCAACGGACAAAGTATAATTGAAGGCAGATTTAGCGTGAAGATGTTTAGAAATCTCCATTACTAGGGGAACATAATGGCAGTATATCTCTGTGTTCTAACAAAAACTTCATGTAGAAGATAAAAAAGCTAAGTCCAATGTCGGCCTGAAACACCTCTGAAAGTTATGTTTTCCCTGATTCAGTCTAATATAAATTCTAGTTTAGCATATAAGTTCCCATTACAGTATGAATGCTGACCTCAAGCCCAGCACTTTTCACGAGTTCTCTGACTTCATGGTTCCTCCCTTCATGAACCTGTGTAGGAACAGAGATTTGTTTCTTTAAATTTGCAAGCCAATTAAAAATGTTTACTGAACTACAGCATTGGAGAACTTCAAATTTGCAAGCCAATTAATACCACAATACGAAGCCGTTCTCTAGGAATATCAGGCTGCCTCGGCATCAATTCAACAGAATCTGGAACACAGTGGACTCCTTCTACAACTGCCCCTTCGCTTATGGCAATTAAGTGGCGTTTGTTTACATCACCGGCAACTGTTGCAATGTATCTGCCATTACAGAGCCATCATATATACAAACACATGCTTCACTCAGCAAAAATCTTTGAGTCTAAGAGAATGAACAGAAACATAACTGTGAAAAATAGAACTAATTTGTGCTTAAACGAATACAACTAACAGGACTGAAGTCTTGAACCTCAACAACCGGAATAAAGGACTATGCAATTATTCCATCACCAAACTTTGAGTTCAGTGTGGTCACTAAGAAGAAAAAAGTAACGAGATTGGAAAGACTTATCCTTCCTTTTACTCTTTTGCCCATCTAAGATTCAGCATACTAATTGGATATTGCTGTATGCGGAATAACATTGTGAGAACACTCACTCTTTCTGTAACCCGGATGAAGGATGTGAAAGTTTCTGAGCAAAATCTCCTGCAAAACATAAAGTACAGGTTCCCTTTGTAAGAAAATTTTCAAAGATGTAGTTCCTCGAGAATGCAGATGAACAACTCAAATCTAGCATTTACAGACACAATTACCGTCATTGGTAACTATGATTAACCCAGTTGTGGCAACGTCAAGGCGGCCGACAGTAAAAAGACGAGGCTTGGGCATGCCTGGATTCTTTTTGTCCTAAAGCCAAATACCAAATTTAAGCAAACTATCAATACAACAATGCAAAGACGCTTAAATGCAAATACATTTACAAGCAAACATATTATTTGAAGCCACAATCAACAAGTACCCATCCCTCCAGATAATCTTCAAACAGACTTGTGACGGATTTGATCTCTTTTTCTCCAGAAGAACATATGTACCTGCCAGATGTTAACAAGAAAATCACATATCAGGAACAAGATTGGAAAAGAATACCCTAACAAGGACCATAGGTTATGACAAACCCTTTTGGCTTGTTAAGTGCAAGATACACTTTCGGAGGAAGTTTCTTGGGAAGACGATTTCCATTAACATAGATAATGTCCCTCACTGGATCAACTCGAGTCTGAACATTACAAAATCATAAGCAGCATGAGACAGTATCATCATCAGATTGAAGCTTCTACCAAAATGCAATACATCATTTACATTCCCCATTACAAAACTTTGACCAAGACTAATCCAAATTCCCCGAGCAGTGAAATTGGCACTAAGGCAAACCTGAGGAGAGGTGCATACAGAACCATTAACAGTAACCTTCCCGTCGAAAATAAGCTCTTCAGAACTTCTTCTTGATGCCACTACAATCACATACACAATCATATAATTATGTACCCTGCAAATCTCCAGAATCCTTGTACTTAGAACCAGAATCAAGACAAGAACTTGCTTTCGAGACCCAACCATTGAACCCACCTAAAGAAACTATATATTCGTGAACGGGTTTATGTATTATCGTGATTGATTACCTCCAGCAGCAGCGAGAACTTTACTTAGACGCTGTGGAGGCTCTCTGAATTTCTCGTTGTAAAACCTACGCGCCGCTTTGGAGAGCTTGGGCTCCGACGAGGACGCCGGAGCGGAGACGGTACCGGTGGCGGCAGCGGAGGGGGTTTTCTTCTTCTTGGGCTTCTCTTTTTTCTGAGGGTTCTGAGTCTTGGCATCGGCGAGAGCGTGTAGCAGACGCGCCGGAGGCTCAGACTGGAGCTTGAGTTTGCCGTCTTCGCCGCGGATGATCCACGGGATGAACAGCTGCTGGCCTCCGGGGCCGGAGGCTTTGGATTTGGGTTTGGGAGGAGCGAAGGAGATGTCGAACTCGAGGGGCTCGGAGGAGGAGAGAGAGCAGCGGATGGGAGGGAATGTACGGACGGGGATGAAGCGAGGGGAGAGAGAGAGTGACCTGAGTTTCAGGAAAGTGGCGGCGAAAGGAAATGGCGCCGTGAGAGCCGCCATCGAAGATGCTGCTGCTGCTCGGCAATGGCTTTTTCGAAGGCGTTATCCTTCTTAACGCATCGAATACGAAAGAATTCAAATATTATCAATTATTGGATTTTATTAATACTCATACCTATGTAACTTGAAAAAACACGGTTTTAAGGCTCATGAACCAATTTTTAAACGAACAAAAAATATATCGGACATTTAGTTTAAAAATGAATTGGTTTGGAGACCGTTTGCTTACCGTAGCAAATTCTAAAGACAACATTTTAGTTCAATACACTTCACTTTTGTCGTAACAAAAGTACAAAGAAAAACACCAACATTCCAATCCCAAAATTGGAAAGAAAAAAAAAACAAAGTACAACATGGTGTCGATCTTTTTTTTTTTAAGAGAGTATGATTATAAATGCGTATTATTCTTGATTGTGCAACTCACCAGCAACACAGTGTGCGCGTGTGTATGTGTGTGTTTTTGTTCATGAGGTTGATGGCTTGAACGTTGCCAAGAACTCTCGTCCCTTTTGAAGCTCTTCCTTCTTCCTGGCCTCGCCCCACTTGTGTTCCGCTCCCAAAATCTCGATTACCCGAGGAAGCGCTTTCTCCGCTGCTTCTCTGTCAAGAAACGCTATCCGAGATCTCCTTGCGATGAAATCAACCGCCTTTTCGCAGTACTCGTGCCTCGCGCAGTATGCTACCTCTGCCTCGAGGAACGGGTACCCGTGCGCAAGCCTCTTCCCCAAACGCTCCTCCTACAACACCGTGGAACCGATTCAAATGTTAGTATCCGACGACAAGAGTGGGTGCGGGACACCCGAAATTTCGATATCCAAAATTAGCCGAAGGAGCGGGAGGGTGAGACGAAGCCGAGAGGGTAAGCTGAAGCTTGTTAGGAGGAGGATAAAACCGGTTTAAAGAGACAAGAAACATGTGTATTGGATATACAAACCTGTGCAATGGTAGCGACTTGTTCTGCTCGGGTGCCATAGGCATGGGACAAATGCTTGGCCACAGCCGTGTCCATTGCCCCCGGAACAACCTTATCTCCGTACGTCCTCTTCATCCGCGTGAACTGCTGAGCAAGAACTGCGAAAGACGACTGATCCCATCCTTCAGCTCCCACGAGCTTTACCCGGTTCGTTATGCATCCGTTCTTCGGATTCAGCTTTCCCGATTCGATGGCAGCATTAACAGCGTCTTCCGCCATGCTGAAGAAAAACAGATAATGAAAGATGAAGCCCATATATGTTTTGGAGGAAGAAAACAAAGATAATACTTTTTTCGACATAAACCTTCGATAAGTAGTCCATTTTCCACCGGTGATTGTAACCAAACCAGGGTATTCCTCGCACAAGACGTGATCTCTTGAGATGCTCTCTGTGTTCTTAGCCGATGGGTCCATGGCCAATGGCCGAATACCGCTCCAGGCTGAAAGAACGTCTCCCCGTCTTACCTATGGATCGAGCAGATTAAACATCGAATAAGAAAACATGCCCGAAATCGCCTATTGAAACTTTCGTCTACCATTACCCCCGGAACGATAATCAAGAACCACGAAGAAAAAATAGATAAAACAGAAGCAGAATAAAAATGGAAGATGGAACTGTTTCTTCATAATTTGCAAACCTTGATGCTGAGGTAATCAGATATCGCGTCCAGTATAAACTCGATCTCATCTTCGCGTGGTTCAGGAAGCGGAGTAATGGCGGTCTCGGAATCTGTAGTGCCTGCAACTGTTCTTCCCAACCATGGCAACATGAAAACAACACGTCCGTCCTTCGTTTTCGGAACAATCAAACCCATTCCTTGAGGAGAATAGTAATCCGGGAGAACGATATGAACTCCGCTACTGGGACAAATCATCGGTTTCGCTTCTTCATCGGCCATTTTCCTTACAGAATCGCAGAACGGTCCCGCTGCATTCACTATGACTCTTGCATATGTATCGAATTCCTTCCCTGTTTCAACATCATAAAACGCTCAACTCAGCCTCAACCTCTCTATTCATCATCTTTATCTGACAAAATCTTGAAGCAATTCGAATTTTTTCTACATTGTTTTACCTGATAGCTTGTCTTGAACTTTCGCACCAATTATCCTCCCCGAAACATCGTCCTTTATAAACGAAACAACTTCGGCATGGTTAAGCACGGCTGCACCTGCCAATGCAGCAGTACAAGCCAATCCAACATTAACCCGAGAATCGTTCATCTGCCCATCGTAGTACACAACGGTTCCCTTTAAGGTCTTATCGTCACCCTTCTTCGCGAGTGTCGGGAAAAGCTCCAGAGATTCTCGTGCGGAGAAATATCTGGAAAGATGCAACAAGCACGGTCCCGCGACAAGATCGTACAGTTTCAAACCCGCCCAATAGTATATCACCTCGAACCAGCCGAAACAAGGTGTCATGCACGGCAAGGCACGGCAGAGGTGTGGAGCATTCTCGATGACCTGTTTACGCTCCTCGAGGGCATGGAACACTAGTTTCAGCTGTCCATAGTCCAGATTGAATACTGCTTTCTCCAGATACCGAACACCTAACAACAATCCAATGCAAATGATTTGAATGGACTAATGTTTCTCAAGATAATCAGCATTCAAATCAACAGCAAATGCACAAGAAATTAATCTGACACCATTTCAGGAATTTTCCATCGATACTACTGTCATGATCACACCCATAAGAAATCAATTCGGAACAATTTCTAACGATAATTCATCCTGATCGATTGACCACCTTACTAGGAGTTGAAAACAATGGTCATATCGATAGCCGGATAAAGAATTAATCAGACAATCATATAGTTCGAAGCACGACTGTTACACCAGCACCACCAGTGAAATGCACAAACAGAGAAGGTTACGTGATAAGCACGCGAAATTACCTCCATGGATGAGCTTCGTGGACCGAGAAGACGTCCCAGACGAAAAATCCTCCCTCTCCACCAACCCAACACGAAGACCGCGAGTTGCGGCGTCGAGAGCCACGCCGCAGCCGGTGGCTCCACCGCCGACGACGAGGACATCGAGTGGGTTCGCGGAACCGGCGCCTACCAGAGCCGACTCCTGGACACTTCGCGGCGGAACGACGGCACCGGAATCTCCAATTTTTTGTCGGAAAGTCTCCGCAACGGTGATTCCGTTGCCCCTATCGCTGGAGACAGACGGCGAAGCGAAGTAGACAGCGCCGGCGGTGGCGACGCCAGCAGCCGCGATGCGGCGGAGGGGAATGGAGGACATTTGAGAGGGGAATTCGGGTGTGCGGTGTGTGATGTCACGTTGGTGAAGGAAACAGAGAGGTTTTGCTTCGGGAGTCGTTCATGGAAGATGGGGAGATTTTGTTTCTGCTCTGTTTATGGGAAATCATGAGAGAGGGAGAGAGAGAGAGAGAGAGAGAGAGTCTACACGTGGGACCCATCTGACCTCATTCGTAAATTTTTTACAAGGGAATTTTAGTTTTATTTTATTTTTGTTACAGTTTTTTTGGAAATTTGTGTGTATTTGGCGCACAAGGAAAATTAAGAAGTGTTTCTCAATTTATTTGCATTTGTTTGTTTGGTTTTTGTGGTGGAAATCCCATTTCTTTTGATTATTTTCCATCTTAATTTAAACTGTTATTTGGTTAGATTTTCTATAAACCATATTTGGTTAGAATTAAACATGAATTACTATATATAATCAAACCAAATTACAAAAAAAAAAAACGAATCATCTTGTCAAGGCACAAGGAAATAATATAATACCTCTGTCATGGGATGATTTCATTTTTTTTATAAGTTCAAGAAACTCAGTTTGAACCTGCTAATAACTGGTTGATTTTTTTTTCTTTGGGATTTTTCCTTTCATTCCATTTAAGTTAAATTGGTATTCGATTTATTTATTTTATAAAAAAATTAAAATGTTCAGATTTTTAAATTTGATATCTTTTTGCCTCCGACTTCCTTCCTCGGGCAAGCCGACTTTGTTTTCGTCCATAATCCGTAATCCGAACGTCTGTAACACGGAAAGAGAACATATTCGCGTATTCTGTACGGTGTCTCGACTCTTCACCGCAGTCGTTTTATTCATAAAACGAACGCGATTCGCCCGCGACATGAATTTATCTCATCATATGAAATGAAAATCCCAACCCTACAACAGTAAGAAATGACAAATCCATCCTCTGTATTATAATACGCATAACTATTTTTTTTTTTACAAACAACAAAAAAAATGATGGGTTCACTCACAAGCACGCATAATGGGAAGAAGAATACTGTCACATACGTTGGAAACAAAAAACCCATTAGATCATGGAGGAGGAGGAGGAGGTCGAGGAAGCCTCTTGCCGAGTTCCTGTTACATGAGGTACATCACAAGGAATCGATAAAGAAGCTACCCTCCTATCAGTTCTTAATGCATCGGAATCATCAGTCTAACGTTAGATATTTAGCCCTAACAACATACCAGACATTTGTCCTAACTCAACTACGCTATTCTCCATAGATAATGATGCCACATGGGATCAAAAGGGTTCGCGGAATGCGGTTATAACATGGTAATCGATGGATTCTATAGAGAGAATTATAAAAGGATGTACCTCGAAAAGTTGATTTATGTTATCTGCTGTCTTTGCCGACGTCTCAATGAAGAACATGCCATTCTTCTCCGCAAGCTCCACTCCATCCTTTCAAGAGACAAACTTGATTTTGTGATTTAAAGGGAACATGTAGTGTGATGGAGTCTAGTTGCTCTGTTGCAAACTAACCTCAGCTGGAACTTCCCTCTTTTCATGAAGGTCTGCCTTGTTACCAACTAAAGCCATAACTATGTCCGGGCTTCCATGCTTTTGCAGTTCCTGTTAAATTGAAGTGCCACTGTGAACAAGTGCCTCGGATCCATTCATATGTTTTTTTTTTGCACACACGTGACATTGACCGTTCATGCTACCAAGAAAATTTCAAAAGTTAACAAGATCGATAAATCATATCCTATCCAACAAATAGTCCAAAAATATCGCAAGCTGCTCAACTATGGCATTCATAGAGGCAAAGACAAATGAATTCAACTCCACTAGAGCATGATCAGTTTTTACACAATCTCTAAAACTCTGGAATCTTGTAGTCCCAACTTTTTTTGGAAACAAAAGCAGAAATTCTTCTCAACATTTTTCCGCTTAACCTATGGACTTGGATATGTAGATTCCTGAAACATGAAGGAAACGGAACTATTGAAACTGCAAGTATATACCTTAACCCAGTACTGAGCTTTCTTGAATGAATCTGGACTTGTTATATCATACACAATAACAGCAACTCCAGCTCCACGATAGTATAACGGTGCAAGTGCGGAATACCTAGAGAGAGAGAATGAATACATGTCAAGCCTTAACAATAATATGACAAGGTCTCCAATAAACTAAGCAGTATCAAGTAGAGTAAATGGCATAGCGTTAATACCTCTCTTGCCCCGCCGTATCCCATATTTCAAACTTAACTGTGGTAGAATCTTGCAAAGCTATTGTTTGGGACAAGAATGAAGCTCCAACAGTTACCTGATAGAGAATTCATTTAAGTGAGGATCAATGGTCAATAAGAATACTGTTACAGCCATTCACATGCAAAAGTTCACAACATACTTTCTTAAGGAAAGACAACATAATTAGTGTAACAAACTAACTAACGAGGTTTCACTAACCTTTGATGTGGCATCAAACTGACCGCGCACAAACCGGAGGACAATACAGCTTTTACCAACACCAGAGTCTCCTAAGAGGACTAACTGCATTCAAATGAACTGCAAAGTTAACAGCTTTTTGGCAACCGTTTAACATAAATGACCGAAGAACATTGATGAGCAGATTAGAATAAAATCCAGAGAAAAAAATCCTCATCTCCTTTAACATTAGAAATTACTTTACAATGAAGCAGCAAATCCCATATGTACTATTGAACAAACTACAAGTAGCAAACCCTCAAATGTTTCCTTCCATGATGCCAAATGTAAGTGAAGATAACAGTCGATATCATGAAAAAGCTAGATTTAAGATACAAATGCTCTACCATTCTTCAAAGAGTGCATTTAAGCCATCATTCTTAACAGTGTAACTTCCAAAATTCTTAACGATTTACCCAATTTTTTTTCAACATTTTACAATATGACCTGTTACAAACTAGACGCCTCCGGTAAATAGTATCTCTTAATGGAAAATCCAAAACTGGAAATTAGAGCAACGTACACCATAAATAAAATCATGGAACAGAATCGGATGCCGCAATGGCAGATTCTAAGCCATGATAAACTGCACTTGCTTAAACTTTGAACATATTGTCGCCACACCAAATCCAAGTATCAGATAAATTGAAACGTTACAAATCCAGGTACCCTATGCGAGCTCATCATTCCTAGCTGAGAAAAAAAAAAAATCTCACTTTTACGCGTAGATTTTTGGCATCTGTTGGAGGCGCATTTTCTGAACTGTTAACACCGCTTAAACCTCCAGAATTCCTATCTGCAACATAACAACAACCTCAGAGAACAACAAGACAATCCGATGTCTCTATTTCTCCACACAAAAAAAAACCTAATTCAGAACGAATCATCAGAAACCCCAAATTTCCCGATTCTTCTAAAACCAACCCAGATCCTCACACCTTCCAAAATCTTGGATAAATATACTACTCTGCAATTACTCTGATTTCGATGATTTCAAAGATCTACACTTAAATTGAACAAGAAATACAGAGAAAGAAAATTACCCGGAAGCGAAGCAGAGCATCCCATTGCTTAGATTTTTTTTTAATAAACAACTACGGAGACTGAATATGCCGCGATCCTCTCCGTTTTCATGGATTCGATGGAAGCGAAGCGAATATGAAGATGAAGATGAAGATGAAAGGCCTGCAGATCTAAATTCGGCTCGATGATTTATCGTCCTTCGTTATGGCAAATGAATACTCCATACTCTGATTTTGTTTATATTTTTTTTATCACACGAACCATAGCGCCACGTGTCACCACCTTGTGATTTGACTGTTAAAAAGTTTAAATTATACGTTTAATATAACTTAATTGTAATCAGGATTATATAATCATCTAAAGTATAGATTCGTACACCTCGATATTTAAAATATTAAAAATAAATTTAACGACCACGTCACCGCGGCACGAAGTGTAATATACCAATATTTCGGTGTACTATTTTCTAAAAATCGATACTCAATTTTTAACAAAGATAAAGGATAACAATAAATTTCTATATAACGTATGGCGAAACCACCAACTTATAAGTAAAATGTATAAACATTTTTTACAAAAAAAAAGTAAAATGTATAAACAATTACACATGAACCTTTTAACACTATAATATACAACACAATATAAACAATTACATATTCCCGAAACCTATTAGACGAGACCACGATTTTGTGAGACCGTCGCCCATATCATATCTTTTATGATTTTTTAATAATAAAATGTAAAAGATGATTAGAAATCTTGGACCTAATTAATGTTTATTGAGGTACTACTTAAATTGTGATGGTTTGCCATCAAAATAGTACCTCAAGACTAATAATTACATATTTCATTTGAGTGGTTTTACACCATAATAATAAAAAATATTGATGAAAAAAAAAACAAATAGCTTGAGACCAAATGCACTTATACAAGTCTTGGAATCCATTCATGGCTTGGTCGGAATGGCTTTCTCCATTGTAGAACAAAGGGTTGATCCTCCCATCGTGTGGTGATTAATGTATCGGCTAGGAGCCGAGTTGAAGCGAAACCCTTTCGGCATGCAACCATTTGCCTCTTTATCGCGAAGAACGCCTCTTCCGCCGCTCGAGTTAACCGTGTTCAAGCTTGTATAGCCCGGCTTTTTGGGTTCCGACAACGGTCTTGATGCTTTTGAACAAGAGAAGAGGAGGAGAAAAATGTAGAGCAATGCCAAGAAGGAAACGTAGCTTGATGACATTTGCTTAATTTTGTTGTTTATTCTTATTGAGATTTTTTTTTGTTTGCTTCCTTTGAAGATTTGTGCTCAATGGGGAGATGGGTCTATATATATGTGTGTGTATAGGGTATGTGTATGTGTGTATGTATATATTTTCATACTTGGCCAGCTTGGAAGAAGAACAACTCATTGTGAACTAAGCATTATGGATGGGGAGATTCACTTTTCTTCAAAACGCTCGTGCTTCTCATTACTCTCTCTCCCTCTCTTCCCATAAGTTTAATTTCCAAGTCAACTGTTTGGGAATAACTATTCCATATTACTAATTCCAAACAAACATATTGATATTTCATAATGAAAATATGAATATTGAACGGTCATTATATTAGAGATTAGCATAACTATTGGATTGGATACTGAAAAAATGCGGATATTGGATGTTGTTGTCTTTGACATTGAATTACTTGATTTATATTTTAATATGTTATTTTAAAAAGTTATTTCCATTTATAATAATAATAGGTTTTTTCTATTGTTTTCGCACAAATGTAGCGACCTCTCAGATATTTTGCGAAACCATAAGATATTTCCACTTTCCTAATCAGAAGTCAAGGACAAATCAGCATGCAACTTGTAAGAATATGATTGGGCCACGTGGGAAGTAAGCCTGTGAAGACTGAACCGACCTGGGACGGGGTTTACTCATCCATGATGACGTCAGAGAAGTGCACTTGGTGCGTTTTTATTGGTTAATTAGTTACATCTCGGATTGTGTAGGTGTAATAAAACTGAAGATCTAAGAGCGATCTTAACACGTGTCAGATTCTAACGCGTTGTTAACTTTACACGGACTTCAGATCTAATTAGGTATATTTAGATTCTTGTTCGATTTGATTACGTGTAAATTTCGGTATCCACCTCGAGAATCCCTATAACCTCCGTATCTTAGATGAACGGGAATAAATCAAACCAAAGTCAAAATTATTTTATATTCAATCATTTTTTTATAAATCCAAATCTAACCAAATAATTTTTTTTTGATAATCCAAAAATTCATCGTCCGATTATATCTCCCAAAAAATCGGAGAAATCCAGGTGAATACCCTTTCTCACGCTTGGATTTGAATCCAGGGTGATAGTTGAATTTCTCTACAACTTTAAGTTACTTTGTTCAACGATCTAATAACTCGTTTAGGACTTAATAAAATCCAATTTAAGAAAATATATAAAAAGCATATCGTTGAGGCGATAGTTGAATTTCTCTACAACTTTTAATACAATAAACAATAAAAACCTATAAATAGTTACTTCGTTCATCAAAACTTTAACATCACACCAAAACTAAAACACTTCAAAATCGGATTGAATTTTAAAAAACAACTATAAATCATCGAAAGCATTTGGAAAATTTGCAAACACAATTCGATCATCGACGTCGATCTTGCAGCAGCAGTGCCCTCCAATGGCCGCAGCGTGGAAGAAGACGAGTAGAATGCTAGTGATCGTGGCTGTGATGGTTGTGCTTTTCGACGTATTCCAAGTGGGTCAATCGATTTCGATCCGAGAATGCATAGGGCATTGCGTTCATAAAAGATGTTCGCATATTCCACCGGCGGGATCCAAACGCGCACCTTGTACGAGATCTTGCACACGGCTTTGCTACGGCCTCCCTAATTACCATGCACAAAACGACGCTCCATGGTGATCAATTGATGCAGATTAAGCCTGATTAAGAAATTAATCATATATATATATATGTTTGGATGTTCTTTTTTTTAAAAACAATAGGCGAAAACAAGAGTGCCCGATCTCATGAGGCCTCGATCGCTCGTACTTCTATATGCGATTCCGTGTTTTATGTAACATGTTGATGTATCATTATCGTATGTACGTAGTTTATGCGTTGTTTTGGAAGAAGAGTTGTTCGTGTGTCTCTCCAAAGACCGGTATAAATCCGGTTAGATCTCTCTTTTAGTTGTTGTAAAAAAATGGGGAAATCATAATTATGATCGTTTATTTAATTTGTATTTGTGTATACATACATATATATATATATATATATATATGTTTATTATTATTATTATTATTTTATGTTAGACCATTTTACCTCGGAGGGAGGTGGGGTTAGTGGGGGAAGATCCATTCTCTCTAATAAATGAGAGCAAGAGAAGAGTCGAATCAAAATGCTCTTTTGGATTCTAATACCCCTTCAATTGTGTTCTATATTTCTAACAATTAATTATAATATTTCGAGATTGATTTTTCATTGTATTTATACAATAATAATAATAATTTGTAGTTACGATCCACAATTGATAACAGGAGAGAGAGAGAGAAAAATACTTTGAATCATCCAAAGAGTTTGAAAACCGATTTTCATTAACTATGCATTAATTAGTCTAAATAATTAAAGACTAAATTAAATCTCCTTATTACTTCTACACATGTAAATATATATGAGAATATTCAAATGAATCCATTTGACACATATACTTATTTCATCTAATATTATTTGTTTCTACCTCTTTTTATAATCTGTTTGTAATAATATTCTCTCTTATATCATCAAGTGGTCCAAAATTCTCAGAAAATGGGATATAGATATCATATATAAATTAAAAGCAGAGGAGATAGAATTAGGAGTACACAGGATGAAAACACAACAACATGAAATGTAAGAGAGGCTTGTATGTTACAAATTGGTACACGGAGTCTCACTCAAACCTCTTCTTTCAAACAACAATGATACAAACTCTCATCTAAGAAGCTGGCATTCTATTTTATTATTACTTCATCTTTCTTGTTTCCATGATGGCCCCAACCACATATATATATATATGTTCAAATCAGACATGAGATTGGCTCCTGAATGAACCAAGAGCCTTAGCTGCAGCTGCCCTCAACACGAACTGATGGTAGAAAGCCGCAATGGCTGCACCAGCGAACGGTCCGACCCAGAAGATCCACTGCTCCATAAGAAAGGAAAGGGGAAAAAACAGACAAAGAGTTTAACTTTGGATACGAGAAAGGTCGAGATTCGATTCAAGATAAAAAAAATAAAATGAAAGAGAAAGATAACGAACATGATCGTCCCAAGGCTTCTCTTGGTTGAAGATGACGGCAGCTCCAAGACTCCTAGCAGGGTTGATGCCGGTGCCAGTGATTGGGATCGTGGCCAAGTGAACCATGAACACAGCAAACCCTATTGGCAATGGAGCCAGTACCTTCATTTTAACATACCCTTCGTTAGATCAAAAAAACATTTGGTGTTATTACATCAGATGAAATTTCTCTGAGACACAGAGTTCTTGGTCCAACGTGAGAATGTTGGGTTCACGTGAATGGTGCAAAATGGACAAAAGTACCGTCCCAGTACGACATCGTTTCGTCAAATTGTAGACCATCACATCATTTCTCACCATCTAAATTTTGTACTCTCCTTCTAACAACAAGTACCCATAAACCCTAACGAGAAAGCAAATAACGATGATAAGAAAAGGGAGAGAGAGATCTTACGGGGACGTGAGAGTCACGCGCGTTCCTCTTAGGGTCCGTGGCGGAGAAGACAGTGTACACGAGGACGAACGTACCGATGATCTCTGCCCCGACACCGACTCCGACACTATAACCACTGGCTAAGGAGTTGGCCCCACCACCGTAACGTGTGTAGTAGGAGCTTTGAAAGGCTTTGACCAGACCCACGCCGCAAATGGCTCCAAGACACTGAGCCACCATGTACATTACTGCTCTCACCAACGACACTTTCCTCGCCAAGAACAACCCGAACGTCACTGCCGGATTAATGTGACCTCCTGCCGGAACAAAAAAAACAGATACCCACGTTGCTTTTTCGGTTATCAGACAACGATCAAGAACAGGGAGAGTTGGATAAAGAAGTGTATCGAACCAGAGATTCCGGCGGTGCAGTACACGAGGATAAAGATCATGCCACCGAATGCCCAGGCAATACCCAATATTCCGACGCCGCCGCACTGGTCGGCGCCGGGGTTGAGGGTGGTGTTGGTCTGGCTGTTGTAGCCGATAACAGTCAAGACGGTGATGTAGAGGAAGAGAAGCGTAGCGATGAATTCGGCGATGAGTGCTCTGTAGAAGGACCATTTCCCCAGCTCCGTCGCGTCGAAAAGCGGCGCCGGCGGCGGATCGTGGTAGTCCTTGCCGGAAAACGACCCATGCTCCGCCACGTCCTTCGCCATTGTCTTTTGGTGGCTTTCTTTCTTCTTCTTCTTCTTCTTCTTCTTCTGTGAAGAGATAGGATAACACAGCACTCTGTTTTGTGGAGAGAGAGAGAGAGAGAGAGAGAGAGAGAGAGAGAGAGTGAAGGTGTGGATGAGAAATGGTGATGGGTCGGTGAAGGGTATTTAAGGACAGAAGATGCACAGACTCTTGGTTTTTTTCTTTTTAAATTTTACATTTTCTTTTTTTCCCAAGAGTTAATGGTGGTAATATTAAATAAAGTATTCTTTTCTTCTTCTTTTTTTTCTGAATATTTTAAATATTTAATTTATTTTTAGACGTTTAATCTTTAAAATATTCTTCAATTCGCCGAACGACAGTAAAACACCATAACGTAAAAATAGAAGTGACGTAGAAAAATAGAAAGGAAAAAAATGATTGGATTGAAAATGTTTTCATGGACTGTTTGTTTATTATAGAAAATTTCAAAATTTGTAACATTAAATTATATAAAATATAAATTATATTTTAAAATATATAAAAAATTATATATTTTAAAATCTAATTATACAATATATAATACACGTATATATATATATATATCAAAATTTTTGTGGGAAATATTTTGCTTGACTAAATGTAATAACTTTGATACATCAAATCTAATTGAATAATATAGTTAAGACACAATCAGTGATTTCCAATGCACTTCTTAAAGCAATAATAATATACTCGTTTAACAAAATAATAATAATATACTCAATTAGTTATATCGAAAATATTTGCCATGAAAAACAAAAACGGTGGTCCATAAGCCTAAAAACGGTACATATAATATCATTGGATAACACAACTAAGACACTTAATGATTTCCAAAGCACTTCTCAAAACAATAATATAACTCAATTAGTTATTATTCAAATTATTTCCCATAAGAAACAAACAAAATCGAGGGTCCAAAAGTCTAAAAAAAGAAATTGTAGCAGCATGAGTGGTCTACTATTCAATCGATTACGTCTTTTAATAATAAGAAAAAAAAGTGCATTTTTATATCAAAGAATAATATTTTGTTTGGATTCGAAGAAATTCATAAAATGATCAATCATTCATTCATTGCTCGAATTTGCGACTTTCGGGTTTTTATCAAATCATGGCAAGAGAACGCATGCTCTTTTGTCACTTATAAAAGTTAATATCCTATAGCGATACAAACACATAGGCATATATATATGCATTTATTTTTTTATTTGATTTTTAAAATTTTCTAAAATTTATATGCATTCGAACTTTATACCCATTTTTTTATTTCTCTAGAAAATATTTACACAAAATCAATTTAAATATTTATTTTGCCTCCGTTTTGTTTTTTTTTTTTACATTTCAAATATTGAATGCTGTGTATACGTGTTATAGTTATTAAATTTGAATTATGAATATAAGAGATTGAAAAACATATATTCGTATAGAAAATGATGGTTAATAATGACAAAAAGAAAAGAAGGTTTCCACATGGTGAAATTGGGGGCGGTGGAGAAGTGGGGTAAGGTTGGCGACGTCTGCTTTCACCGACTCCTCTTGACTTTACAATGCCCCTAATATTACACTATTATTATCGTTTTTATTTTATTTTATTTTTTTTACATCTTGTCATTTTCTTTTTCTCTATTGAATCTTTTTTTTTTTACTTTTCCTAACGTTTATTTCACAACCCCACTAGCAATTAAAGCTTGCGACAACAACTACTTGGTTTCCCCCTTTTTCATATTTTATTGTGTTTCCTCTTTACTTCTTTATTTATTATTTTTCCTATTTAAATTTTGGGTTGTTATAGCAATTTGTTCATAAATTTATCCGATTATATAGCATTTGATTCCTCAACATTGTCTGTCAGTAGAGCCAAAGAGCTTGCAGACGACATTCTCGTGAATGTCCACCGAATTTCCTCCCCTTTTTTGTTTTTTAATTTATTCAAATATATTTGTTCTTAAAGATTACTTCCCTTTGGTAGGTTTTTATTTGTAGCCAAAGCATTTGGTTGTTTTCTGCTTGAGATGCTTTAAAGAATAGGCTTTCCGTTATACATTTATTCCAATACAATTTTCAATCACTATAAATAAATATAATGTCCAAATGTCGATTCCTTGTCTTTTTTCAAGGGCATTTTCCATTTTTTTTCTCTTTTTGGGTACTCAAATGAAAAAAAAAAAAGAGAGAGAAAGAAATAGAGAAAAGATTCTTTAATGAAATATTTTTTACAATAGAACAAATTTTTTTATTTCTCTTTTTAAAATAAATTGATATAAGCTAGAGATTTAGAGAGTGATATATTGGATTTTAGTTCACTCATATTTGATTAATTTGGATTTGAATTTTGTAGTTTTAAAAACAGTTTTATATTAATTTTATTAAAAATAAATACAATAATTAATAACAAAAACGAATTCAAAAACACGTGAAAAAATTAGGTAGAGGAGAAGGGGAGAGGAGCTAAAATCCCCCGGACAACTCAGTGTGAAGGCGTCATGTCATCATTTAATGTTCTCAGGAACAAACTCGAAATTCACAAAATCTATTGACGATAATAAATAATAAATTAATAATAATAATAATAATAATATTTGTATTTTGACAAAAAAAAAAAAAGGATCCAAAATGCGATCGATACACGCGGCGTGTCGGCAACCACTCGGAACCAAAGAATGAGCTGTCATAGAGTGACACGTGGCTATATATGTGGACAGAGATGACTTGGCGGTTTGGTCGGGCGCAGCGTGTTAGAGTTTTGGGAGATGGCTAAGTCCGCCGAATCCTATTGGACAACGACATTTATATCACTGTACACGTCATCACCATTTCTTGAATTGCTCTATTATTCATTTACTCCCTCTGTAACGTTTAAAAAACACACGAATTTAAAAAAATTATAATTTATCTAAAATATCTTTATTTATTAAATAAATAACTATTATCTAAATATTTAAGTATTATTAACCAAATATTAAATTTGAAAAAAAAATATATTAAAATTACATAAAAAACTTAAAACGTCAATTATTTTAATATGAAAAGGATGAAGTATCTATTAAAAATAATAATTGGTTGGTCTCTTTCAATAAATTTTCCTTTTTGAATTTTATTTTTGTTATAATTAATGAGATAACCGTTGGTGAAACTATGTAGTTTGCAAATGGTCCAACAAATTGGGATTTCATTGAAGAGAAGGGACTTGTGATGTGTGTTTGAAAATGAACGTAACAATGGATGTTTACAAAAAATTGAGATATGTGGAAACTGTGGACTGACAATTTTTTATTTTATATTTTCTAAACCCTAAAGTAAGGAACGTTTAGGGTTTGATAAACATACTGTCAGAGTTGGTGGTAGTTTTGTATTAGAGGGTCAATATTATTTTATTATTATTTATTTTACCGTTAATTTTTTACAGATCCCGGATTTTATCTCATGGAATATTTTTGTTTTCTGATAAAACTAGTGCTCAGTATTTTAGCGGAAAAGTATGGAAACACATTATGTTGATTGTGAAATTTGTTGATCTAAATGCATGTATGATAATATAAGTATTTGCTTAATTATTTGGTTTGTATACGTGCTTGTTCTTGCAAATACAGAAAATTACCGGAATTTAATTTGAGCATTTCTTTGTAATTTTCAATATTGTCAGCATTAACTGGGATAAAATGAGATGAAAAAACACATAATCGGATTCCAATTTTTTTTTTATTGGAAAAATTATGTTATACAACAGACCGACTATAGAATCAATTTGAAATATCATTTAGAAAATTAAAATTTAACGATATTATTCTTTGTAAAAAAAGATTGAATAATTTTATATAATGAAAAGATCGGCATTTAGCTTATGCAATATTACATATAAGTCTAGAAAATGGAGTTTGTAAATTGCAGATTCTGTTAAAAATGAAAAAAATATTATAATAAAATCTATATATATTAATAAAGATGTTTAAAGGATTGTGGTGAAGCCACCTAAGCATCCACATCATCATCTATGTGGCAAAATTTAAAATTTTCATTGGTTATTAAGAATTATTATAAATTTTACAAAGTTGGTGATTTAAATAAGAATTACTATAAAATTTATAAAGCTTTGACGAGAAATAAATAAATGAAAAATATGTAATTGTGGATTGAAAAATTATAAATGTGATCTGGTTAATGCTAACGTTTTTTAATAATAATAAATACTTTGTTACACTATTTTGGAGAATACGGACAATCCAAAAGCCAAAAGTGTTTCATATTCCAACGTTAATTCATTTATTATAATTGAGGTTTATTTTAAAAGTAAATAATTCATTAAATGTTATAACATATACGTTACATATTATATCGTTTCTTTTCCTCTCTCTCACTATTTAAAAGAGATAAAAGAAAATAATATCCGTGGAGACATTCATGGGTTTTCCGTTCAACCATGTTTTACCGTTGTCTTTGTTTTTTTTTTTGGCATTTCAGGAACCATCTTCCCAATGGACGCTTGACACATTTTCTTCATGAAAGAGATTGAAAGAAATGGTTCAACAGGGGAGTCTCGTAGCTCACGTAGTTGAAAGGGGTAACGTGAAAGGTCATGGTGATGTATGTTTTCTTATCCTTTGTCTCATTTGTACTTCTTATTTGATTCTTTTAATTAAAAGAAACATATATACAGACAAAAATTGAAGAAAATAGAGGTGAAGGAAGGAATCATGCATCTTCTTCTTTGGCTTTCCCTGATACGCTTAGATTATTGGTGTTTTAAACACACTTAATCATTTCCCTGTTAACCAAGTTCCTACAACCTTTGTTTTCAAATTTATACACGTAACTACTGTAGGAATAAATTAGTGAATCAGTTTAAATTAATATATATACATGACATGAATTATTATATAGTATTAGTTGACAACCAAGATTATAGATTGATCAGTTACCAAAAAAAAGATTATAGATTGAGATAAAAAAATGATTAATTATTATCATTATTATTGTTAAATAATTCTTATTTATATACCGTCAATTGAACATATTGTCGGTCCTTTAGACGTTTTCTCTTCTTCGCACGCATGTATATTGAAATAAAAATTAGTTAATGATATATTAACAAATATTTTAGTTTTAATAGTA